TGGGCTGCTGTGGCCATGCTAGTATGTGTGCTCCGTGAGCACAGGGTGCTTTTCTCTGCTGGCTAATGGACTTGGTGTGTTGTCTGTTTCCTGTTCCAGAAAGCAGACAAATCCCAGGGTAGCTCAGGCCCCACAAGCAGTTAAAGGGACCTGCCTCGGCAACGAAAGGCTTGAGGGGCACAGCATGAAGACCGAAGGCTCAAGTCTGGGGATGGAGCAGAAACCACCCTTTTAGGTCCAACTGGCGGGTGGCAGCTGCTCCTGGCCCTATTCCTTTGGTGGTCACTTAGTGCCCTCCCTCAGGGTTGGCTGGCCTAACAAGCTTTCGCTGAGCAGGACAGGGCTGGAGGGAATCCCCCTTTGGACATGATTGGATCTACAAGCTGCCTGACTTTCTTTCCCCTTGTGTTGAAAGAATCATCAGAGCAGCACATATTCACGTAGAGTTAAGTGCTTTGCAAGTGGAATGAGAAATTATGCAAACTCCTGAACTAGCCCCCATTCCACCCCCAGAGGCACAACCATTCTGAATAGCTTGGGGGGCTGGCTTGGAGTCTGGAATAGTGGATAAAGACTGGGGCCTGTGTTCACGCTCCATCTGCTGCTGCTCAGCTGTGTAACTGTGGGCAAGTTACTTCACCTCTCTGGGCTTCAGTTTCTTCCTCATAATTGGGAACAGCCTCATAGGGCTTTTGTGAAAAACAGGTAAGTTAATATTTTGAAAAGCTCATGGACCAGCCCTGACACAGGACAAGCATTCAAGAAGCATTGAGCTGCCAGTATTGTCATCCCCCTTGTCTTTTCTACACATGTATTCATTTCCTGCCTAAATGGGCTTAGGCTGTACATTTTATTCTGCAGTTTGCTTTTTCCACGCATGCTCTATCTTTGATCACTTTCTTTTATGTGGGACTTTCTTGTTCAGGTTCTATTTCTCCTGGCCTCTCCCTCCTGGAGTCTAGTACTTTCTCCCCAGCTTGCCCCTCTGTGTCCCCAGGAAAGCTTCAAACCAGCCTGTTCATACTGAGGTGTAAATGACGGATATGAGGCCCACACAGGTGGTGTGGAACCACTGCTGCCCGTGACCAGAGGAACTCATGGTTTTGGAGGGTACCCAGTATCCACCTGTTACTAATGACCTCAGGGGCAGCTGGGCAAGTTCCCCACTCTCTGGAGGCTCCTTGCATCCTCACAGCCACTCTGGGGGCAGGTGATGTTATTGGCCCCATTTTACTGAGGAGGAACTGAGTCCCAGAGAGGCTAAGGGGCTTTCTCTAAATCACTCAGCCCATCACTCAGCCCGCAGAGCGGGCCCAGTTGCTCACGTTGGACTGCCAAGCCCCCTTTGGTCTCCACTAAGCTGGAACCTGGATTCAGCTTAGGGCAGCTATAGAGTCAGGTGGGAGGTTCTGGATGAACAGTGGCAGAAGGTGGCTGGTGGGTTCTGGGGTGCAGATGGGGGTGGCCCTTGTTGCTTCCACTGAAACTTTAGCCCTTGAAATGCTTTCTATGGGACGAGGGAGGGGCAGTAATTCTCTGGGAAATTAGATCAACTGGATCCCTCGGGAAGTGTTACTTGGTGATGAAGGCCGGGAACCTCCCTGTCCCTGATGGGCCCTTTCCTGGCCTGGCAGGTCTGGAGGTCAGATGGTGGGAAGGGGCCTTGGGGCATTTTGGTTCTTTCTCCGGTACCTTCTCTCAGCTCTTCCTGGGCCCTGGGGGTGGGGCTTGGGGGCTGGGGGCACTGCAAGTGGACCCTCAGCCTTTGAAAGTGAGCAGGTGCATTTGAGGCTGAAGGGGCCTCGCCTGGAACACCCTATCTTCCCCGGAATCCCCTCAAGCCCCTCTCTGAACCACCCATCCACCCCTCCCAGGCCAACTCAGAGCAAGGGTTGTGTGCGGGGGAGCACCATGGGAGGAGGTTGGGACTTTGCCAGAGGAAGTGGCTGGGGAAGGCGGGGTGGGGGTGGGGTGGGGGGGTTGGGGGGTTGGGGGAGTTGGGAGGGTGGTGGGATGCTTGACAGCTTTGACAGTGGAGATGGGAGTGGAAAGCCTGGCTCTGCCTTGCCACCCAGCCACCCTCTCTCGGAGGACTGGAGACAGGCTAAGACTGAGAGGTCCAGACCTGTGCCATTCACAATGCCCCGAAATCCTCTTCCAGGAGGCTCCCACAGACTTGTAGCAGGCATGGGACAGGGATTCCTGCATCCATTTTGCAAATGAGCAAACTGAGGCTGGTGTGACCCGTGAGAGTCTTAACAGGGCCTAGAACAGTTCTCACAGCAAAGCCAGCTGTGGCCCAGCCGAGGACAGACGCCTGCCCTTGTCAGAGAAACAAAAGTCTTGTTCTCCTGCAGTCCTCCCAGTGCTGCCTGGCACTGCCAGGCCCAATGCCCACATGCCCACCCCAGGGGCCAACTGAAGTCAGATTGTTCCTGAGGAGGCGGGTTCCCAGCACTGTGTGTGAGTGTGCGTGTAGGGGTGCAGCTGCGAGGGGAGCCGGCTGGCCTGGGTTGGAGCCCATGAGGTCTGTAGGGCTGGTATGCATAGTGGGGAAAGACAGGCTATCCCTCTGTGGCACATGGGTGGGGGCTGCAGCTGTGTCCCTGCCACAGGACAGAGAAGGCGAGTGGGGGCTTCTGCTCCTTTCTCCTTGGGGACTATTAGAAGCTGGGCACAGACCCCTGGGGCCCAGGCTTCCTGGTGGGGGGTGAGAAAAGGGAGGAAGGGTGGAGAGGTGAGGGCCCCTGAGCACTCCCACCAAGGCTGATGGAGCTTCCAGCTTTGTAAGGGAGCAGCTGTGCTGGTAGAGGGGCCCTGGGCTGAGGTCAGGTGGCTTGGGCTCCATTCCTGGCCCTGAAGGAACCATACACGCAACCTGGCTGGGCCCTTCCCCAGCTCTGCCTCGTGGTCTCCAAGCCTCTCCTTCCTCCCTAGCATGGGCTCAAAACTGACTGGCTGGGGTTAGGTCTTCCTGCTGCCAGTTCTTAACTCCTCTGTCTCTGTTTCTCATCTTTGAGAGAAAAAGAGTCGCCCAAACTAGCACATCGATGGGGTCGTTTGAGGTTAAAGTGCTTGGAACAGTGCCCAGTACACAGTAAATACTCAAATAAATACAAATTAGCATTATTACTATGATCTGATGCTTTTCATTGAATCTTCCAGTATCTTCCACTGGTGCCAAGTTAGTCAGATGTCTGGCATTAGGCAGACCCCATCAGCCTATGCTGCTTTCCTTGCCACCCCCAGACGTCTGGGTCTCATTCTCTTAGCACCTTGGGGAGCAGTTCTGGCCTGTGGCATACAGTGGCTAGCTTACCCTGCTAATCTTAAGCTTTTTCATTACTCACTCACTCACTCACTCACTCACTCACTCAGTCTACCCAGAGCCATGCTCTCGTAGGATGACATTATTTTCATAAAATGTTTCTCACCAGCCTTCTGAAGTAGAAACTGTTCACAGACAAGGAAAGTAAGGCTCAGATAGGTTAAGTGCCTTGCCCAAGGCCACAGAGCAAGGAAATGGAAGAGTTGGGATTTATCTCCGCCTTTGCCTTGTTTAATAACATTGCTGAAACTTGAAGTTATATTGCCTTTTACGATATCCCTGATCCTATATCGGGATCCTGCTAGGACCTCTGAGGAGTCTGTGTACCCCCCAGGGGCCCTGCACCTTTCAGAGTTTCAGTCCAGGTGGGAGGAACCTTGGAAATAACCAGGTTCAACCCTTTCATTTTGTGCATTGGGATGCAGGCCCAGTGAGGGGAAGGGATGTGCCCAGTGAGGGAGAGAATGGGCCCTGTCTTCCCCTTCTAGACTATGCCCCTCTGCCAACCCCCACCCCCACCCGCATCCCACTGAGACACATCCAAGACCAGAGCTGGATAGTGGGAGGCCTTCCCTGTGCCCTGAAGCAGTCCATTCTGCACACTCATGCTTCCAGTGGCCTAGGGACTTGCCTTTCTAGTTTACTACACCACAGGTCCACAGCTCAGCGACTACAGTGGCTTGCTGCTGTGTCCCCAGTATCTGCTTCTGACATAGTAATCATTCCCAGTGCACATTCATCCTGCAGCTGTCAGGTCCCAGGCCCTGGGCTAGAGGCAGGGAACAAACAAAAAGGAGACAAACAAAAGGTCTGTCCTCAGGCACCTGCATTCCTAGGGAGATATACTAGAATGAAAGAGCAAGCAAAAATGCATCAGATTTAAGATCGTGATAGTGGTGTGGGGAAATCTGAAAGTGGGATAGGCACAGGGAGTGTGTATGTGTGTGGGTTGTGGGGAGGGTCAGGTAGGGATTTTGCAGTTTTCAAATAGGGTGCTTGTGGAAGGCCTCCATAAGAAAGTGACATGTGAGCCTTGGAGCAGGTGAAAGAGTAAGCCCTGATGGTATCTTGGCGAAAGGCATCCCAGGTAGAAGGAAGAGCGTGTGCAAAAGCCCTGGGGTTAGAGGATGCCTGGTGTGTGCAAAGAGGCTGGTGGTGTGACCAGAGCAGATGGAACATGGGGAGAGTGGGAGGAGCTGGGGTTAGAGGGGACCATGAGGTTGGGACAGATCCTAGACGACCTCTCATGGTTAGGAGTTTGCCTTTTACTCTGGACGAGTGGGAGCCATGGAGAGTTCTGAGCAGGGGGGAGGATGGAATTTGACTTAGGTTTTAACAGGATCCTTCTAATTCCTGAGTTGCCAGTTGAATGTTGTGGGGCAAGACCAGAGTTTGTCTGGACTTTCAGAGGCTTCTTCAGGAAGCCATAGATAGAGGCTGGGCCCACACTGCTGGCAGCGACGTGGTGGCAGGACGGGTATTTGAGGTCAGATCAGATGGGGTCACCGTGGGGCATGAAAGAAAGAGGTTGAGCTTGACTCCAACCTTGGGTGGCTGGTCAGCTGCAATGAATGAAGAAGAGGGGCCCCTCTAGGAAAACCTGGGCTCCAGTTTCAGCTCTGTCACCCACTTGCTTGGAGACCTTGCCTCACAATCTGCTCCCCATCCACAGGGAGCCCCCACCAGCAGCCGCCATGGCGTCGCGCATCGGGCTGCGCATGCAGCTCATGCGGGAGCAGGCGCAACAGGAGGAGCAGCGGGAGCGCATGCAGCAGCAGGCCGTTATGCATTATATGCAGCAGCAGCAGCAGCAGCAGCAGCAGCAGCAGCAGCAGCAGCAGCAGCAGCTAGGAGGGCCACCCACCCCTGCCATCAACACTCCTGTGCACTTCCAGTCTCCGCCACCTGTGCCCGGGGAGGTGCTGAAGGTAGGGCCTGCCCCCCACACCCTCCTACCTGTGCACCACCCCACTGGTCTAAGACCCACTTGAGCCCTCGCCTTCTCCCTCCCTACAGGTTCAGTCCTACCTGGAGAACCCCACCTCCTACCACTTGCAGCAGTCCCGGGACCAGAAGGTGCGGGAGTACCTGTCTGAGACCTATGGGAACAAGTTCGCTGCCCACATCAGCCCTGCGCAGGGCTCCCCAAAGCCCCTGCCGGCCGCCTCTCCCGGGGTGCGGGCCGGACACGTGTTGTCTTCCTCAGCTGGCAACAGTGCTCCCAACAGCCCCATGGCCATGCTGAACATTGGCTCCAACCCCGAGAGGGAGGTGAGTGAGGAGCTGGCCCCTGGGGGCCAGCAGCGGCTGGGCTGGGGGCCTGTGTTCCTGGGGCGCCTAGTCTTATGGCAGAAGTGAGGTGAAGTGCACCCTTGGGGGCTCCAGTCTGAGGAGAGGCCCACAGTCTCACAGGAGAAACATCATTGTGAGTTCTGAAAACACTGTTAGGGAGAAATGGGAGAGCCCAGCACATCTGCAGGGCCCTGTCCAGACAGAAGGTATCTAAAGGAATCTCCCCAGCCAGCTTGGCTCCTTGGGAAGAGCCCTGGCCTGGCCGGGGGGCCTGTGGGACTTGGCAGCACATTCTGGGCATTCTCTCTGGGCCTGTTTCTTTCAACCACAGATAAGCAGGTTGGGGGAGGTGGACTCCAACCTTCGGTCAGTGGCTGTCCAGCCCTTCTACTGGTGGGCCTCCTCAGCCGGGTTCTCTCTCTTTCAGTTTGATGTCATCGACAACATTATGTGTCTGGACAATGTCCTGGGCTACATCAACCCTGAAACTCAGATGCCCAATACGGTACTGTTTGCCAGGGCGGGTGGGCGTGGCACAGCGAAGGGGCAGAGGTCCTGCAGAGACTCTGAGCCTGGAGATGGAGGGATTCCTGCAGCCGGCGGGGGCAGGGGCCTGCATCCCACTGCAGAGAGTGGCTGCCATCAAGTCCTGTGATGGGGGCCCAGGCCAAGCAGAATTAAGAATCCAGAGAGGCATGCCTCAGCCTGTGTGCATGAGGGGGCTCCCGTGGGGAGAGGTGGCTGGGCAGTGGGGGGAGGTTCCTGAGGTGGGGTGAGGGCAGGGCAGGAGGCACTGGCACTGGGCTTCTGGGAGTGGGGGTGCAGAAGAGCATTCTTGGCGGGGGAGGTGTGACACAGGATGGCCTGGAGTTGATGAATCCCTTTGGGGTCTGGGGCACCCCCCCCTTACAAGGCTACAGCCCAGCGGGCAAAGACCTGTGTCTCATTCTGGGGCTAGTGACATGGGGTTGACTGTCCCTTCCCTCTAGAGGGCTCCTGGCAGCACGATAACTCTCTGGGCCTCTGGGGCAGAGGTGGGGTGACAGGTGGGAAGGAGCCAGACTTGGAATCAAGAGGTCTGGCTTCTGGCTTTGGTTATGATTTTAGGAAGTCCTTCAATCTTTCTGAGCCCCAATTTCCTCTGCTACAAAATGGGGATAATGCCTTCTATGCACAGGGTTGTGGGGAGGTTAGATAAAGAAAGAAATTGGGGGCAAGCTCTGCATCAGGGTGACAGGTTTTTACAGGGAGAGGAGGAATTGCTGGTGCCCTAACCCTTTTCTGGAGTTCCTGCACCTTAGCTGCTCACTCTTGGCCCCTATTACTCCATTCCTAGCCCTGGCCCAGTAGGGTCTGAAGCTGCCACTCTGAGGAAAGTCCCCGGGGCACAATCCCCACTGCCCAGTGGCTCAGCAGCAGCGAGCCAGGCCCAGCTGAGTCCAAAACCAAGAGGCACAGTGAGGGAGGGCACACGTGTCAGTTCTGGGCCCGTGGCTGCTTGGTGTGTTTCTCTGGCAATAGCTGGGGAGACCTCTCCAGAGCTCAGCTCTGCCCCCGTTAGAACCCTGCTTAATCCCACTAGCTGCTCTTTGCAAAATACCGGTCTCACTACCATCGGAACCCGGCACTTCAGGATCCAGCCCTGGCTCCTTCCTGCAGCTTGAGCTGCTGGTGACTCCACCCTCTGTCCAGTCCGTCTTTGCTCAGCCGTCCCTCCTGCCCTTAGATCTTTCCTCACATCTCTGCTCAGGACTCAATTCAAATTCCACATCCTCCCAGAAAACCTTCCAGAAAACTGCAGACTCATTAGGTGCCCCACCCAGGCCTCCCATGCCCTGGGGAGTTCTCCTCTCACAGCTATCACCTGGCCTCTCCGGTCCCGCCACCCTGGGGTGGTTGTGCCCTGAGGGCAGGGCCTAACTCTTAATCAGCTCTGGAGCCTAAAGTGCCGGGTGAAAGACCAGGGTTAAGTCCCATGTCCCTGTGCTGGCAGCAGGCCCCTGAGCTCCGAGACTGCACGGGAGATACCTGGACAGTTTCCTGGGTGCTCCTGGGAATGGCTGTTTCCTGAACGATGGGACCTGGAGCCAGGCCCCCACAGAGAAAGGGCTGCTTACAGCGCCCCTCTCCCCACCTCACCCCACAGCTGCCCCTGTCCAGCAGCCACCTGACCGTGTACAGTGGGGACCCCCAGGTCACAGCCTCCCTGGTGGGCGTCACCAGCAGCTCCTGCCCCGCTGACCTGACCCAGAAGCGAGAGCTCACAGGTACCTCGGCCCTGCCTCCCCAGCCCCAGGCTCCCCGGAGTCTCCCTCTTCTCCCTCCCTCCCAGCTTCTCTTTCCTCCCCTGGCCTCCAGATGCTGAAAGCCGAGCCCTGGCCAAGGAGCGGCAGAAGAAAGACAATCACAACCTGAGTGAGTGGGCCAGCCCTTCTGCCACCGCCCCCCACTTCTTTCCCACTGCCCCCCTCCTCCCTTACCTGGTGGCTAAACAGCCACTCTGGAACCTGCTCAGGTTCTAAGAGGCATAGTCCCCAAGGCTTAAACCCCCATGCCTTCCCTTAGCCCTCTTTAGGAGGGGTGGAGAGGGGCTCTGGGAACTGAGTCCTGGAAGGAGTCCTAGGCTGTTGGAAGGGCCCTCCCCCAGGCACCTCTGGGTGCTGTGTGATCAGGACCCAGTCTGCCTCCATGAGCCCTGTACCTGGCTCGCACTCGACCCCCATAGAAATCCCAATTTGTTGGTCACCCATTTTGTCCAGAAGGCCTGGGCTGGGTCCTTCTCCCCAGGGTGGGGCGGTTCCCATCCCCCTAATTGCTCCCTCTGGAATCTGTTACCTGTAGTTGAAAGGAGACGGAGGTTCAACATCAACGACCGCATCAAGGAGTTGGGGATGCTGATCCCCAAGGCCAACGACCTGTGAGTGGGCTCTGGGGGGGAGGGCAGGGCAGGTGAGGGCAGCAGCTGACAATTATATCCACACCCAGCCAGGCTTATTGCCAGGGGGATGGGATGGGAAGACAGTCCCGTCCTTGCTGCCTTCTAGGGGCTTATCTATTTGAGAAAAGAAGATCCCTCCCTTTCCTAAATCAGGAAAGTTCCAGGCAGATGTCCCGGAAGTGAGGCTGGGGTCTAGGGACTTCCTGGAGGAGGAGTCATGCTGGAAAAGCATGCCCTGGGCACTGGACTGGTGCAAAGGTGGTCCTGGGGTCGGGTAGTGACAGGCAGAGGCAGGCATGGGTTTTGGTGGTAGGAATGAAGGCCTGAGGAAGGAGGCTGTTCCAAATTCAAATTGCTGGGCTCCTAGGATTAGTGAGGTCAGGGGTGGCAGTGACTTCACCTGGGAGGGCCTGTTCTGCCCAGATGGAGATCTGCACTCCTCCACAGGCCGGGGCTGGCCAGATCCGGGGTTATAGACAAGGCTGGAACAGGAGACAGCCTTCTGGAACCAATACAGGGTTTTAATTCCCTCCACCGAGCACAAGGCAGTTCTTGGTGCACCTCTCAGCATGCACCCCGATTCTGCTCGGCCTGCAGGGATGTGCGCTGGAACAAGGGCACCATCCTCAAGGCCTCTGTGGATTACATCCGGAGGATGCAGAAGGACCTGCAGAAGTCCCGGGAGCTGGAGAACCACTCTCGGCGCCTGGAGATGACCAACAAGCAGCTCTGGCTCCGTATCCAGGTCTGGTCCCTGCCCTTGGATTTCTTGGGGTGCTCTGACCCCTGACCTGGCTCCTGACCCCAGGGCCATGAAGCCCATAACAAGGGAGGATGTATCAGTCAGGATGTTAGGGTTTGGAAACAATCTGCAGCAACTTTAAAGCAACGAATATCAGCTGCAGGTTCTGTTCTGTGAGGCCTCAGCCTGGGGCCCAGGTAGATGCACGGGCACAGCTGGAGCTGGCTCGCAAAGCCATGCGTCACTCTTAAGGGGACACTGGTCCCTTCCACTCATATTTTCTTGCTCAATGCAAGGTCATGCCCACATCTAACCCCAAGGGGGCAGGAAGGTGCAGACCTCCCAAGTGTAGGGGGAACTACAGTCCAGACCATAGCTTGAGGGAGGGGAAACTTTCTGAGAACTCGGTCCTCAGGCGCTTACGTCTCTGTGTGAACAGCACAGAGTAATGTCACCAACCTCGAACCTCAGTGGTGAGCCTTTGGGCCCACTGGCCTGTGAGCCCATTAAGGACCGTGACTATTGGTGGGTAGTGCCAGGGACCAGTGCCAGGGAGCAAATAAAGAACAGAGGCCTGGGAGAGCCCACCCCTGGCGGAAGCCGTGGGTGCCAGTCCTCTCGCCCATTTTGGACCTGCAGCTGGTTATCTATACGAGGGTCACTGGACTGAAGCTTTGAACCATTTCTGATTATTTTTCATGTAGCTCATACAGCTTCCACCACAACCCAGCACACATGATCAAAAGCAAAGCTTCCTGAAGGAACACTCATCCTTAATAGATGCAGCGCATTCTGATAACAGTCTAGTCTAGGCAAGTCTATTTCAACTGAAAAAAAGTGGAGAGAACTGGTCAGGCCCACTGCAGCGGTTTCACAACCTGCTAATGAGTCGCAACTTGTAGTTTGAAAAACCACCGGTCTAGACGATAGAGCCGCCCAGTGCCTTCTTCCAGCTGAGACGTTTTGTGGTCTAGGGTGCCGCAAGGGCGGGGGGTGTGAGGGCTGCGGTCGGGGTCTGCGGGGCAGCTGGTACCCACGGGCGTGTGCCCCAACCTGTGTCTGCCCGCTCTGCAGGAGCTGGAGATGCAGGCTCGTGTGCACGGCCTTCCCACCACCTCCCCGTCCGGCATGAACATGGCTGAGCTGGCCCAGCAGGTGGTGAAACAGGAGCTACCCAGCGAGGAGGACCCTGCGGAGGCCCTGCTGTTGGGGGCTGAGGTCCCCGACCCTGAGCCAATGCCGGCTCTGCCCCCCCAGGCCCCGCTGCCCCCGCCAGCCCAGCCGCCTCAACCACCATCCCCGTTCCATCACCTGGACTTCAGCCACAACCTGAGCTTTGGAGGCGGGGGTGACGAAGGGCCCCCCAGCTACCCCGAACCTGTGGGGCCAGAGCATGGCTCCTTGTTCCCCACCCTGTCCAAGAAGGATCTGGACCTCATGCTCATGGATGACTCATTGCTACCACTGGCCTCCGACCCCCTTTTCTCCACCATGTCCCCTGAGGCCTCGAAGGCCAGCAGCCGCCGGAGCAGCTTCAGCATGGAGGAGGGTGATGTGCTGTGACCCTGGCTGCCTCCATGCCAGGGAGTGGGCAGGCCTGGGGCTGGGGGGCCCGGCACCTCCTGCCTACCCTCCAGGCTGCACTTGTGTGTGAAGTAGCCACCTGCCCTGCCTCACTCCTTCCCGTTGGCCCCCTGTTTGGACTTAGTGTCTACTTGGCAGACTGTGGGGTCAGGTGAAGCCCCCGCCGGGCTCGGCATCCCCCAGGAGTGACCCTCTTGAGGGTGGGCATGATGAAGCCTCAAGCCAACCCCCAGAGGTGAAGTTGTGAGGGAAGAGAGGGAACAGTGTGCTAGGTAAGCTCCGGGGGTTCCTATCTTCTCAGTCTGATTCCCCCTCCCCAGTGAGGGAGGACACGATGAAACAAGGGGTTCAGCAAGTTCTTTCTCTGAGGCAGTGGCTGGTTCGGGGGGGATACCCAGGCCTGCCTTTCTGGGATTCGGACAGCTACAAGCTCCTCCCGCCTGGCACTTCCCCCTCACACAGGTGGGGCACCCCCACCGCCCTTTGGTGCTATCAGCTCTCCACCAGGTGGTGTGAGGGCGGGGGGTGGCCAGAAGAGGGGATGCTGGGTTCAGGTTAGAGTGCAGGGTCATTGCTGGAAGATCAGCTCCCCTCCAGGCTCCCCACTTTGTGCCTTTAGTAAACACTGTGCTTTGTACCCACTTGTCCTGTCTTTTTGGTGTGGGTCTGGGGATGACAGAACAGGGGACGATTCAACCCACTAGACTCCTTTCTGGATTTTGAGTTCAAAGGCCCTTGATGGGGGTGAGCATAGGGGGATACAGAGAGGCAGGAACTGGCCCATCACCTGGCCCCCCCAGCCCCCCTGACCCCTGGGGAAGTTGGAGATGTGACCTTATCAGGGGGCTTGGGTGCTGATGGGGGCTTTGTCCTTCTTCTTGGCCACAAGGTGGCGCTGCAGTCACGCTGTTCTCGCACCTCCAGCTGTCCCCAGATGCTGAGTTGGACAAGTGGGGGACCCGGTTGTTCATAAGCCAAGTCTCCCCTTCTTAACTGTTGCTTTTGATACCCCTGACCCTGGCCCGGGGTGGGGGGCATGTGCCTCCTGTTTCCCACCCCTAACTCTAGTGGAGACTCTTCGGATTCTTCTCCCTCCGGACGTGGTCGGAGACCCAGCTTGGCGGGTCTAGCTGTGAGCTCCGGGTTGGGGGGCAAGGCTGGTTCCTCTGCTCTTCCTCTTAGTTGCCTCTGGCAGGACAGCCCCCTTGTAAGTGAGGGGCTGAGACCTTCTATGGGTCTGGGGAAAAAGTGACCCGTGTGAAATAATTTGGGGGCGATATTGGAGCCCAGGACACTGGGTGGAGCCAGGTACACGGGGACCCTACCTACTCCCTCCTACTGGACCTACACCCTACTTCATGAACCCTCTTTCTGGGCCTCAGTTCCTGCATCCTGCCGCAGTTCCAGAGGGCCTCTGCGCCAGGATCCTGGGTGCTTATGATCTCATCCTGGATGGGGCAAGTGGTTTGGGGCAGTGAGTGGCAGCTGCTTGTGCGCTAGGTGTTTGGTGGGGGAGAGAGGAGAGGGTCTTTTTGGACTTCACCCAATTCCTTCTCGACTTTCCACTGTCTTTTCAGGCAGAGACCAAAATGGCTTCTCCCTCACCGGACCCTGAGAGGCTGAGGGGCCTAATTAAAAAAAAAAAAAAATCCCACGATGAAAATGGCTAAGAGGGCAATTTCCTCTATGCAGAATGGGAGATGAAATCAATGTTGGAGCAATTAACATGTGAGGGACGAGAAGCAAAGGGGCCGGGCACATGGGCGCTGATGGCAGGGCTGGGCTGGCGGAGGCTGCAGGATTAATCTCAAGGTCAGATGCTGCTGTGGATGACCTTGTGGGATTTGAGCAGGCACCTCCTTCCAGTTCCAGTTCTACCCCACTACTAGGGGGTTGTCCGTACCCTGAGAGCCCCTTTGCTCTCCTGGGGCAAGCCCTGAACTGTGGCTGATCGCTGCCAGATCCCCGGTGGGGCTGCACTGGCACGGAGTGGGTGGAGGGTCTGAGAACCCCAAGGTCAGTCCACGCCATTGAGAAGTCCCTCCTACTCCATTTGTTGTTTCCCTTCACCCTGGGACTCGCTTGCCTGGTGAGCTGCCTACCTGCTCCCTCCGCACCCCTAGAGAGCACAGTATTGTCCGGTAAGACTATCGGCCCTTCCTCCTCCACCTGCTGTTGGCTTCCTGCCCCCTGGTTCCTTCAGCCCAGCCAACACTGCAGCTTGGGAAGCAGGGTCTGACAACCCCGTGGGCATGGTGGAGGGTGTGAGTGGGGTTCTTCCCACCAGAGGGCGCCACAGGGCCAGAACCCAGCTGGCAAGGGGTGAGGCACTTCAGCTTCATTGTGCATTCAGAGCTTTGAGCCTGGAAGCCCTGCAGTCCTACCTGTTTGGTTAAGGCAGGCACAGGTGCTACCTCTGGCATCACAGCACCTACCCAGAAGGGCTCATATACCTGAGACTGGCCTGCAGGGCCCTTCGCTTGTGGCTGGAATGGAGTCTGGTGGTTCTGAACATCTCTGATTAAATCAGGGGCATGCAATTTTCATCCATGCCCTTATTTGACAGACAACACCTTTCCAGACATTGGATCCGTGAGGAATGGGTAAATGGGCTGGTGTAAAGTAGAGGTGAATGTGTCCAATCCCTAGTTTCACTGATGAAGCCCCCCAGTCCTTGGTCTACCAAAGGGGCCAAGCTAGGAAGAGGAGGGCAAGCGGGGTCCTGTCTCCATCCCTTGCCCCAGCTCCACTCCCTGTATCTGTCTGTTTTCTCCACCAGCTGTCAGCTTCTTACCTTCTCTATAGTGAGAGAATCGGGGTACACAGGAAAGTGGCTTCCCATCCCTGCCCTTCCTCTTCTGGTCATTCAGAAGGAAGTGGGGGAGGGTCTGTGAGCCCCATGGGGAGGGGGGAGGCTCTCTGTTCCTTAGGAACTACCTCAGTGTTTCCATGAGTCTCCTGGAGGTCTGCTCCGCCATCTGCAGAAGAGGGCTGTCCAAAGTCAGAACGGAGTGGAAGCCGGGGAGGGAGAAGCCGGACCTCTAATGCACTCCTTGGAATTTCCCATGTTTTCATCACTCACCTTCCTTTAAATATGAGCTTCTTCCTTCACTGTTTGGAGCCACTGATTTGGATGAGACTATGATCCATGCTCTGGCTCCCCCCACCCTCAGCCTCCACACAGAGTCTCCATTTAAAAAAAAAAGAACCCAAATTTAGCACTCGTGCCGCGTCCCTGTCTCACAGCCCGGCCCCTCCTGGGCCCCTTCAAGGCCGCTGCCTATTCCCTGGGGCCCCTGTGATTCCCCTCCTGTCCCTGCCTCTAGGGACCCCCTCTTCTTAGGTGGGGTCGAGCCCCCATCCCCCCTCAGCTTCCTTCAGCCTCATTTTTTTTCTTTGCTCTCTCTTTTCCAAGGGGGGCAGTGGAATTTATACAATATTTAAGCAGCCAGAGCCGAGTCCGGGAAGATATTATTAATGTAAAAGGGACGGGCTGCAAATGCTTTTGGACCTGGTTACAATTAGAGGGTGATTTTTCTAAAGGTCAATGAATTCAGATAATATCCACAGGGGGGAGAGAAATTTAATACCTTTTTAGTGAATTAATTAATTATAATATTATATCGGCTTGGGGTTCTTTTCCAGAGTGATTAAGGGAGCGATCTGTCTTCTGTGAGGCTGGGGAGCAGCGCCTGCTGCCAGTGAGGACCCTGTCTCTGGGCTCAGGATGGGGGCCCTTCCTTCTCTCACCCTGGGAGCTGGGGTGGCTGTGGGCAGCAGGGGAGAAGGGCACGGCCCTCCTCCCCTCAGCCTGTGCCCCCAGGCCCTCAGTGTTTTGGCTGCCCAGTCACTGTGAGGCCTGGAGAGGTGCGGCTGCAGGCCTTATGCTCACAGAAACCGAGGCCTGTACGATTCTGGGACTTGCCCTGGGCCCCACTGTGAGTAAGGACAGACCCGGGTAGCTGGCCGGAAACAATGAGAAGGCTCCCCCACCTCCCAGTAATCCAAGCCTTCTGGAAAATCTCCACTGGCTAAAGGCCTATGGAGCCACCTGTGAGGGCCCCATTCTTACCAGAAAGAGGCTCTTGAGGGGCCAGAGTATTCCCTGGTTCTGCTAGTAAAATGAAATTGCCCTAGGGGTGCTGATAAGTCACATTGCTGCTAGGCCTGATGAGGGTATAAGTTTTCTGTGCCTGAAATCACCCCGGGAAAGGTGCTTTTTACCTGCTTATTCGTTCATTCTCATGTTCAAGCGTTTGTTCAGTCAACAAACATTGTGCCATACTGCAGGCTGAAATAGCCCTTCCTGCCTCACCTCACCTCCTCTTGAGCCTCAGCTGCTCATCTTAACAGTGGAGGGTGAGCTGGGAACACTAACCTTCCACAGACCAAGGCAGGTTGACTAGAAGACTCTTCCATGCAGCCACGGGTTCTGGAAGGCAGAACCTAGCAGGAGTGGCAAGACCAGACAGGCCTGGTTTAAATGTGGGTTCTACCATGATTTTCTGTGTGATGGGTAGGGCTGGGGCAGCGGGGGTGTGGGGTGTGGGGGTGTGGGTGTGTGTGGGGGGAGTTCCCTGTGCCTCTTGTAATGGGAGGATTAGAATATGTACCTCCTGAGGTTGTTAGTTAAAGGAATTGAAAGAATCACCAAAGGGAAGTGCTAGGTGAGGCATCTCCATCAAGATGTGACTCCAGGGTGGGCCAGGGACTCAATTTCTTTTTCCTGTCGAAGGGGTGCCAGCAGAGGCACCCCTAGCCTGGGGAACTTTCTGGGGCAAGGGTGGGCCTGGGTTTTGCCTCTCCTCCTGCCCTACCTTCTTTCCCCTCCTGTCCCCCTTCTCCCTCTATGCCCCCTTTGGCCCTGGCTGCCTCCCTCCCCCACCTCTTCTTAGTTCCGTGTGCGGCGGGCCGGGGAGGGCCTTCCCATTGTACTATCTTTGGGCCCTAAATTAAAATTGATGACATCTTGAAATGAGCAGTGAGGGTAATTTTGCTTCTGAGCCGGGATGCTAATGAGGCCCCTTAATGGTGCGAACGCGGAGCTGACGGGTCGTGTGTCACGCGCCATGGTGAGGGGGGTAATGGCCGCGGTAAGTGCCAGTAATTACACCCTGTCTCGCTGTATTTTGGCAGGCCTGGTGGGAGAGCGGGGGCTCAATCACCGGGGGCGGGGGCACCCCCCACCCACGGGGGTCTGACAGCCAGAGATACCCTCCTCGGCCCAGCAGGGGGGAGGGACGCCTCAACTCCAGCCCCACTTCCAGCCCACCTAGAACCAGGAGCAGGGTGGGGGGGGCACACAGGGCTGCAGGCACACAGTCACACACGTGACAGTCACCCCATGTGCACCCCCAGTGCATACACAGCACTCACACCCCCAGTATGCTCCCCCACATCCACTCCACACCTTCAACAGACAGCCCTAAGCCCACCCCCTTGGGGCACACATGTCCAGGACACAGGCACCCACGTGTGCACACAATAGTGTGGCACCCTGAGCACCTACTGTGCTTCCTGTCTATTATCTCTAACCCTCCCGCTCTCTTAGGAAGCAGGTATTTGTATTCTCATTTTATGATGCAGAAAGTGAGATCACAGCTCTGCCCAGGCAGCGCCAGCGGCAGGGTGGAATTCAGGTCTACTGACAGTGTCATCTCTGCGCCCACATCTCTTAAGTGCGTGCAGACCTCTCGGGGCACAAACACATGCATCCTGGGATTGCACACGTGTGCAGCCTGCTCAGGTCCCATCTACTCTCTGTGCACCCAGAGGCAAACACCAATGCACCTCGCAGACGCACCCATGCAGCTGACACACATGTGC